AGGCTGGATGTCAGTTTGCTGTCCTCTGTGCATGTTAACAGGAGAAGATCCTGCACTGGTCCTTGTCCTGCACAGATGAACCTCTGCACATGTGGTCTGGGATCTGAGAAGCTAGCAGTACAAGGTGAACTTCTAAGAACAAAAAAGAAGCTCTTTTGGACCATAGCTTTGATTAAACAAAATCCAGCTGCACAGCTGCTCTATATTTATTTTTTGTCAGTAGGAGCAAGCGGTGTGTGATCTTCCTTGGAAGATCCGTTTATCCAAGTTTACAATGACTTGCTTTTACTACTCATTGATCTATAGGCCGGTCTTGTTATTATTGTTATTATCTATATTATACTCAAAGTTTTTGGAAATATAACCTTCCTCGAAAATTTTCACAAACCCATTGTATATCGGGCTATTGCTACATCTGCTAAACAAACAAACAAACAAAAAAAAAAACACAAATGAATCTGTAAGATCTCCCAGGAGAAGCCCTAAAATAATCATTAGCTTCCTCAAAGAAGGGTGGTAAATACTGCCTGATAAAGCTATATAGACTGGGGTGGTTAAAAGGTTTGTAGCAATTTCTTTTAAAACAGTAATGTGACAGCACAGTAACCTAGAAAGAATTTACACACTTCATGAACTGGAATGAGAAAAATCTGCGAAATCCATCAAAGTCTTTCATTGGCATTTAAGGCTCATGGGAAAACCACAAGACTTGAAAGGTACACATTCCCTATTTGATAACCGTGACACGGGTTAAACGTCTCATCAAAGGCCATGAAATCACTGGGCCTCTCTCTACAGAATGGTCATCTGCTTCATTATGGCCAGTCAACCATAATTTGTGATCTTAGTCGCGGTTCTCCTCTGTTTTAAAGTGGTTTCATGTGTCTTGGGTGGAAGATTGTTAGACAGACAGTATTATTATTTCTACTGCTTAGCATGTACATCAGTTTTGCATTTTTTCCAGCATTGCTTGCCTGCTCACCCTGTAAATCCCTCACCTCTCTGCGTCCCACACATGCAAAAAAGCTTCTTCATATCAGACTCTCACGGAAAACAGAACATGACAACTTGCTCAGCTCTGTCCCAAGAAATCATACTGCTGCTTGTATCATTGACGTTAAACTGCTAGGGGACTGGAGTCCAAACTAAACGCTATGAAAACTAGCCTTCATAACAACAAAATGGCAATGTTTATTTAACAAAACAAATGAAAATCTGATACTTTATTTCAGCTAGCCAATGATAATTCTGCAAAACCTTGGAGGGTGATAAGGCTATAAACCACAGGCTTGGAAAATATTTATTAAGCTGCTGAAAAGCTCACAGATATATGAATAATAATGGAGGACAAATTGTTTTCTGACAGAAATATACTGGGCAATGTCCACTACAGTACTTACCTGAATAGATGCTATATCCTCCTGAGACCCAAGGAAAAAAGTGTCCTTCAATTTTAAGTTATTTGTCTTTGGAGGAAATAAGACATCTTACAATTTAGATTTTTTCAAATTTATTTTTCTTTTTAATTTCACAGCATGTCCTCTTTAGCGTACAACAGGAATAAATACGTTTCCTTACATCAGTGAAAAGATAGATGCAAAAACAAAATATCCACTACAATGGACATAAATGAATGGGTGGGGTCTCAGGAGGATATAAATTTTGGATTATGTAAATCTGGTAGCCAGCTACAGTACTCTATAGATCAGTGAGTGATGACAGGTGCAGAAATTCCTATAGCAAACCTTACGGAAGATGCAAAATGGCATTTAGGAATTCAGAGGGCTTGTGTAACTGAAGCCGTCGGCTATCAGAGGGGCTGTGCCAAAACACATAAACACAGAGGCATATGCAGCACAGAGGAAAACCCCTGCGCAGAGCTGGGAAGAGTCACACAGCACACGGAGACCGACACGTTGTTCAGGGAGAGGCTCTGCAGTTATAAATCAGAACCCCCATCTACAACTCAAACTCTTATTAAAAGTCTGATAAAGTAAAAGTTGTGTAGCTTCACCGGAAGGTTAGAGCTCAGAACCTGGGGTAGTCAGCTCTTATTGCCGGGATTTAATGGATTATGATGCTGCTCTGAGCACGAGTCATCCATCTATTATGATTTGACTGGGCTTGCTAATGGCGATGCTTCAAAATCCTGTGCGAATTTCAGCTTTCCAGCAAGAGAAGGAAAAGTGCAATAGAGCCATTTCCAGAAGTGGTGGCTGTTTGTGACGTTAAGGATCTTCCTACTTGGGACATTCCCCTGTGTGTGGGCTGTACATCAAAGTGTCAATACTGTGCTTCACATCTTCTGTGCACTTTAAGAGAAGTAGTTTCATGAGAAACGAAGATGATTTAACTGATCTGGGGACATTAGCACTGATTGTTTACTAACATCATTTAGGTTCATGAGCAGCAGTTATTCTCTCCCAGGGACCTTTGATCACACACGCGGGTCCTTAATGGCTATACTGCTCATTAGGTTATATTCAGGCTTCCATTTCAGCAGATATGTGCATTTAGGATACATCAGCCTTGCCTGAAACTTAATGCCATACACTTTATCCCTTCAGTTCCCTATGCTTATTTATTCTTTAAGGATGCGTTATTTTGTCATTCAGTGCACAGTATGTATTTTTAGATGAGATCTACACATTTGCGCCAAAAAGTGAGAGATCTAGGGTACATGATTGGATTAGCAGTGTTGAGCAATACTCAGTATCAGTGATAATCCATGATGGATGATAGTATCTTTTAAAGAGATGCTCATTTTAAAAATCAGCCTTCCAAAAAAAGGACAAAATAAATTACATTCACTTAAAGCCAATGGCTTCTACAATACACTTGTGAAAAGAACGGGCTACATAAGTAGATAGACTTACATAGAACTTGTATGAGAAAATGTATGTTAGGATTATAATTTTAGTAGCCCGTTCAGCTTGATCGTGAAATTCACCTTGATCGTGAACTCTGAGGTAACAGTGAAGAATTCCGAAGATATCTGGACTGAAACCAAAAAAAAAAAAGTCAAATAAATCGTCTTTTTTTCGCAACCATCTTCCGTATAAATTGTTAGACTAGTTTCTGTACTAATTATTGAAGTGAATATGTGCTCTTATATGCTTAGATATCTTGGTGCACATCACTGGACTTTTTTCCGCAGTTAAACGTGTAGCGGATTATTTAAAAATTTACTGATTGTTACTTAGAGCAAAAATAATGTAGTGTGTAAAGACTGTTGGTACGATAATGTCACCATACTGCCCAAGCATACTAGGGGCTACAACCAAAAAATCATTAGCAGGATGAATCACACATAATTATTGTGCTGTTATTTAAAATCCTTTAATTAAATTTGTAATAGTTATATGACAATATAAGTAACTAATCCATGGGCACCTGTAGCTGTAAGGCCCTGCTGCATTTTCCACAGAATGATCTGCACCAGCAAGCTCAGCACGTTCCACCACTGGAAGCCCCCTGGTTGACAAGTGGCTCAGAGGTTAACTGATTATCAGTATCGGTGATAGCGGATAGCAATATGTTGGTTATGGGTATTGGTCCAAACCTCCACACCTGGGCCCCACTAACAACACACACATTACTGAAATGGGATGGTCACACCAACAGTGCAGGATACAAAGAGCAGATTCCTGCTTTTTAACAAACAGCTTATTTTCAAATGCAAGAAATGCTAAATGTCAGCTTAAACCTTGTCCACTCTTTATTGTAACACCTGTTTTTTTTATCGCTTCTTCAAGTCTCGTGGTGTAACACAGTCCAGTCACAAATGGCATGCTGGTGTGTGTGTGTATGTGTGTGTGTGTGTGGGGGGGGTGTTCACCCTTGTTCGCCGGGGGGAAGGGGGGGGTGTTCCCTGAGATTAAATTCTACAGGCGCCCCTAAATCCATGCATCCACCCTCCCATAAGAACTATAGGTCATTGGTAAGGCTGGAATCTACCCCAGGGATCACAGTTCACCAGGCAGAGGGCAGCCAATAATAATAATAATATTTTTAGCCACAATGTCTTTTTGAAATGAAGTGTTCGGTGATACCCCCTGGGTCTCTGCATCATCAGACTGCAGCAAGCCACTGTTTCTCCCATTTCGATTCATGTATAATCAGACACTCGTAGCCCTTCCTGCAGATGTCATCACAGCCACGCTCACTGTTAGCGAAGCACAACACCCAGAGCACACTCTGAAGGCTTTATCGAGTACCCCAGGTCTTTGAGGACATTCTAAGGCAGTGTCCAGTGCTTGGAGACCCAGAGACAGTCCACATTTTAGCTCCCTGTGGGTCCTCAAACACTGGATTGGGAAGCACTGCTCTAAGGTTCTGCTTGAAAGACATATTTCACCGTGGGACGTGGGGTGTCACGTAATGGTCCAGCAACCAACTTTGGTTTTAAATGTGAGTGAGGAGACAGACTGAAGGGCCCCAGAGCCAACACCCCCCCCCCCACACACACACACACACCACATGATTGGACAGCCCTTACATAGACTGCCCTTTAAACAATAAAAACACGGAGTTCAAGTAAAGCGATTACTGGTTTATTCAGCCTGTTAGCAAAGGCAATAACACCCCATTGAGATGAATAGGGAGTGTATTCAACCTCCCGTATCTCTGTCTTTAGGTGTAAAGGATCTATGCTATGAACTGAAAGCAGTAAAAACTGTACACGTTACATTCATACAGGGTGGAGGGCATTTGGGTGACATACTCTAATCTGGATCTGTTCTTAGGGAGGCATGTTCAGAGCTCTGTACCTCCAGCTGGTGCAGTATCTTGGCCGTTGGTGTAGGTTTGGCTGCCTTCTCACACACTGGCAGGTGGAGGGTGCAGTGGTCCCTTGCTGCATCGGGGTCACCCATTAAAAAGGTCACCTGCCTTAGGTCTCCCTGAAGAGGAAATAAAACAAGACAGGGCAAAGCTTAATGGCGACTAATAGGTTTTCCATGTCTGAAACATGTCAGATTCAATTCAGTTTCAATTCAGTTTCATTTGTATAGATCGTTTTCACAACCCTACATTGTCTCAAAGTGCTTTACATTATTCCACCCAAAGCCCACAGAAAGCAAGCCGGAGGCAACAGTGGCAAGGAAAAACTCCCTAGAAGGAAGAAACCTTGGGAGGAACCAGACTCAAAGGGGGGAGGGGGGGGCATCCTCCAGGGGCCGGCAGAGGGAGTCGAATGAACAAGATGGCACAATCTTAATTTACGCTGCGCAAATTTTAAGATTTCAGTCTCAATATGGGGGGCAGGGCAGGCAGGTGCTGGCAGACAGGTGATGGCAGGCAGGTGATGGCAGGCAGGTGATGGCAGGCAGGTGATGGCAGACAGGTGCAGGCAGACAGGTGATGCCAGGCAGGTGCTGGCAGGCAGGTGATGGCAGGCAGGTGATGGCAGGCAGGTGATGGCAGACAGGTGCAGGCAGACAGGTGATGGCAGACAGGTGCTGGCAGGCAGGTGATGGCAGACAGGTGCTGGCAGGCAGGTGCTGGCAGACAGGTGATGGCAGGCAGGTGATGGCAGACAGGTGATGGCAGGCAGGTGATGTGCTTCTGATGGTAGGACGAACAGTGGTACAGCAGCACTTTGGCTTTTCTATGATTGCCAGGACTGACCAGACTAGCGTGAGCTA